ATGTCACATAATGATCACAAAAATTCATAGATGATGGACTAATTAATGAGTCACTACATGGTTGAAAATGATGAAAATGTATGTATCTAATTATAATAAGTAAAATAATAGCAATAAATTAATGATTACTACTAAAAAAATAAAAATAATTACATGATGTAATAACAATAAATAATTATTATCTAGATTTCTTGTTTCTGTCTGATGCTTTCTGGCATATTAGGAGGATGTGGTCTAGGAATCCTCATATATATCTTATAAGTATCATACACAAACCACTGAGCAGCTGTCAGAGTACCCACCATGGCAATACGAGGACCCAAACCCTTCCACATTCCACTGAAGCAAAGATTCTTGAAGGTCTGCCAAGGAGAGCTATATACCAACATCAGAACTGAGTTTAGAGACAACAGTGTCAAAAGGATGGCTAACTAGTGTACAGAATATCCCAGCAATGTAGCCTGAAGTAAATGTCACTGCTATCTGTGTAGGCTTGCTGAGGCTGTCTCAATGATTATGGTATCACATATTTGTAAAAAAAACTCATCATAGTAAAACCAGTCAATCCTTCTGCTGCCCAGAGTTTTGGTACACCCTGGCACAGGGTCAATGTTGTAGCTGAAAAATTTTGTTCTGAAACTATCATAAGTTAAAACTATTCTGTGTTAGATGTAAATGAATGTTCTGAGGGATTGTCAAATTGTATAGCCAGTCATATGCTTTAATACACTTGGAAGTTATAATTGTATTTGTTATGCTGGGTTTATTTTGAGCAATTATGCATGGGCATAGTAAATCAAGGTAAAAATGAGAATAATAATGCAACATAAGTGTTTATTAATTCAGATATCAATGAGTGCAAGAGTACATTGAATGGAGGCTGCTCTGATTTATGTAACAACATAATTGGTAGCTTTTATTGTTCTTGTCACACTGGTTACTCTTTGACCACTGATAAATATAACTGCACTGGTAATTTGTTAATAGTTGATAATGATCTGATTAAATTATTTCATTGTGCTTTATAGATGTTGATGAATGTTTAATATCCAATGGTGGGTGTGCATACTATAATCATCAAGAGTATATGATGGGCATGTACTCTTGATATTATTGTATCAATACAGCTGGTAGCTATTACTGTACTTGTGAATCTGATTACTCCTTGAATACTGATGGACACACTAATGTCTTGTGAAGGTATTACCGTATAGCGCTTTATTTTGGCGGCACTTTATTTTGGCGATTTTGACGTAAAATTGTAATCGGCAGTTTTTAATTTGGCAATTTTCGTGTACACGTGCATTACTGAGCATGCGCATTAATGATTGGCGGTTTTAATATTGGTGATTCTGCTTGCGAACCGCCAATCGCCAAAATAAAACTCCGCCAAATTAAAGCGTTATACGGTAGTTGATAATTTAATTATGACAATATTGTTTAGCATTAAAATATTGATGAGTGTGTGATTAATAGTGGAAGCTGTGAACAGCTATGTATCAATAGCAATGGGAGTTATTGGTGCTCTTGTCTCAGTGGATACACATTGGATACTAGCAATATGAACTGCACTGGTATAGAATGTAGCCATATACTGGTTTATCAAGGTGAAATATTTATGCGAATTTTGTGATGTGGCCTTTGTTCACAAAAATTTATGGCATGAAATATTCATTTATTTATTATTCTTATGAATGTTTGGCAAATAGAAATTTTACAAAAATACTTCACTCAAAATAAACCATTGTAAGGTATTTTTTGAATTATTGCTCATATAATTTGCATGACACATCAAAAGAAATAACCAATGCCAAAGTAGTGATTATATACTTATATTTAGATAACAATGTAATAATAGATATTGATGAATGCAATAATACAAATGGTGGTTGTCAGCAGTTGTGTACAAATACATTTGGAAGCTATTATTTGTTCCTGTAATACTAGCTTTAATCTAAGACACAACTCTTTCTGTGCAGGTAGATACTTAATTTATTACATACTGAGTATTGTTGCTCTCTAGATGTTGATGAGTGTTCTACTGGTACCAATAATTGTAGTCGCAAATGTGTCAATGAAATTGGCTCATTTCACTGTGAGTGTTTATCTGATGAGGTATTGTCTGATGATAGAGTTAGTTGTAAAGGTAAGTTTTACTTATTTGAATTCATAATAAAGCAGGTTCTTTAATATTTATTAGTAGCTGGTGGTACTTCAAATGCCAATGTGAGTCATATAATGAGGTCAATATGTTTATTATTTAATTTTTAATGTAGACTTTAAATCAATTTGAAAACTTTTTGTACTACACTTTACCATTGCTAATTATATCACTTATAGGTAGTAATCAATTTCACACATATTTTTTGCTTTGTGCATAGCAACTGCATGCCTCCATTCACGTTCATCATAATTATGAGGAAGTGATATAAACATTATGTGAAACAGTTTTTCATTTTTAGCTAATTTTATTTGCTGCTATTATACCAAGTTACCTACATGCATTTACTGTTACAGAGCTATTTTTGTAATTTTGATCTCATTTTATTTTTGTTGTTTCACTTTTATTGATGTGTTCTGAGAGCTCTCAGCTGAGTACACAATGTAAACAATTTATCAAACAACAGGGTTGAGCATTTACCAAAAAGGTATAGTCTATGCATGGCTTCTGAGAAATAGTAGTAGGGCTAGACAAATTATGCATACCAGCAAAATCTACCTCATGCTAAAATAGCAAAATTTAGTACCCACAATTAAAAGTCACTTTAAGGTAACTCACGAAAACACGAAAATTCCCACTTCAAAAATTACCAGCTATACAGCACAGCACTTAATGTGTTTCAACATCTTTATTTACTTGGAATGGCATAACTGTATTGCACCAATGCAAGCATTTTGTTGAATTAATGAAGCAACAGTATACATAAAATTGAAGAGGACCATAAAAATTGAGCTTTTGCCAATTGTGTTTGCTAACATTATTGGCAATTTCATTTATTACTATGTGTAATCATCTAGCCATAAAAGGTCAGCTGTACCCTTTGATAGCAATTATGCATGGTCTAAAGAACAGTAGAATATGAACACAGTATAAGGATATTAATACAGCCAAAACAACTGAATAAAACAATTTTGTGTTTACACATCACATCTTGTATTTATATTTCATGGAATTGAGAATTCAAAATTTAAATTGAAATGATGTCATGTGACTTGTATGAGAGTATGCTTTAAACTGACATTGAACAATCAATTCTGCCCAATGGTATCAAACAAGCAATATTGTGTTCTAGTCTTTTTCTATCTGCAAAGGCAGCAGCATCTCCCTATTAATACTACCAAGCTGAAAATAGTGTCTAGCTATAAAATGAATGTATAGTGTACCATGAATATACATGGACCAAAGTTTGTTTTCAGCAGCATAAAATAGTTAATGTCAAATACAATTTTTAGGTTCCTAATTAGTTTAGCTAACCTACAGTTAAGTTATACAGTTAGAAAATCATTCACATGCTGTTCTCCTCTGATAATTTTCATTATTCTTAATCGATGTAGTCTGCTAGTAACACCAAGATCCTCTTCAAGCATTACATCATCCAATTCAAAGAATAATTTTCCGTCAACTAATTCATGTGAAAATGTAGCAGAATACTGCTGTAATCCCATTAGACCAAGAAACTCTCCCATCTATTATAAATATGAAATATAGTAAGCATATTAATAGGAGTCATACCTTCGAAGCATTATAATCTGCCAATAACCTCTTATTTGTATCAAAATACTGCCCCATTTTGCTATCCAGTTGCTTTGGTTCAGTAGCTGCATGTATTGCAATGATAAAATTTTAAATTCAGTTTCACAAGAATTGATTATGATAATTAGTTACCTGGACTTTCTTGCCATTTTGTTACACCATAAGCACAGTTGCTTAGAGTAGGAACTTCTACTGAACTCATCAGAGGTGATGGAGGTGATGGAGGTGGTGGAGGTGATAGAGGGGGTGGAGGTGATAGAATCATGCTTCGTCTAGGTGGTAGAGGAGGTGGAGAGTGAGTGTCTACAGAACGTTGCACTGACATTGAAGATGACGCTTCCTTTTGTTCAAATTGTTCATCTATGAAAGGTTCCAATGACTCATATATTTGATGTACCCTGGGAGGAGTCCTCTTTGTTAGGATTACCTTATCTAACCAGTTGCTAATATGTTGTGGTAATAGTAGGTCATTCTGAAGCAGATTTGCAGTTGCAGTTGAATCATAAATCACAGCAGATATTTGGTATGGTGTGAGTTTTTCTGACAATAGGATTGAGTTATCATTTAAAGCAGCAAATTCTGCTCCATTTCTTTCATGAACACGAAACATTACTGATACAGTGAAAAATATTTCAACCAGGCTTGTAGATCTACTACTAGGGAGATTGGGTGAGCAAATGAAAGATCCCACTGATGATGGCGCTATAGTGTCAATCATGGCATGCCTATTATGAAATTTTGGATGAAGGACTTTACCATCACTCAGATACATTGAAGTCATAAATGGCCTTTTGATGCATTTAGCA